TGGTGGTTTTCAAGATACCTGTGTACAACTTCTGTATGCCTCCCCTCAGGAGGTGCGGCTTCATTATTTCTGCCCCTGAATGTGGACTGGAGCTTCGGATGTCATTTTGAACCTTAAGCTTTTAAAAGATGGGGCTTCCGATGGGGGTTCAGGGTGGCTTGCTGTTTCACTCTGAAAAATAGCTCACTTTAAGAGAGAATAGCTGTCTTGTTCTGCCATAGTTCTAGAGACAAGCCTATGAGGCAAGGGACTAACATCCGCAAGGAACCATGTGAGTTACCCTGAAGGCTGACTTCACCTCTGTGCCACTACCTCAGCTGAGCTTTCTGAAGATTCCTCAGCCGTGGCTGCGAGGTCTGCCGCCTGCTTGAGTGACATGGCGAAAACTCCCTGTGCCTGGATCACTTAGCTGCAGATATTAAGAGATAACACAGTTCCATCATTGTTTAGGCTTGGTGAGCTGATGAACTCACTGGGGTAACTTAAAGGAACATGGACGGCCCAAGGGCAGATATCGCAATGAAAAGTTCAGTCCAGCACAGGTGATTGCACATGACAGCTACGTAGCTGGATCGCGACCCAGTTTGCAGGCAGCTCCACAGAAAAGCATCCTCATTTCCAGCAACTGCTTAGTGCTTGTATAATCTTAGGGGGGAAAGCCTAGCCAGCCCTGTACTTTTTAAAATGTTAATATAATGTTTATCTTAACTCTTTGAAAACTTCCTATGTGCATACAATGAATTTTGATCATATTCACCCCCTCCCCGCAACGCCTCCGAGATCCATCCTTCATCACTCCCAACTTCACATCTTTTCTTTCCTTTTCTTTCTAATCCAAGTCCAGTTTGGGTGACATATACTCATGGGTGTGGGGCCAGCAACTGGAGCAAAGTCCACCTACCAGGGCCACGCTCTTAAGGAAAATTGAGTCTCCTTTCTCAAGCAGCCATCAATTGTCAGTAACTCCTTAGCTGGGGGTGTGACCTCATAAACACCTCCTCCACACTGGAATTTTGCCCGGCTTCACCTTGCACACATCTCATCTTGGGCTGGCAGGCACAGTTTCTATGAGTTCATATGTGCTGTGGTCCTGGGATGTTCAGAAGACACTGTTTCACATCAGCACTCCCTGACCTTGGAGTTCTCTCTTCTGAGATGATGCCTGACCCTTGTAAGGAAGCTATTGCTATACATGTCTGTTGATATACACTGTCCACTAGAATCTGGTGGTGAGATCCTATTGGTCATGGGCTATCTGTGGCTAAGTACTCCCTAGACACTTATTCTCTGCACTTTGGCCGGCTGAGAATTTCCGTATGAACCAAGGTTGACTGCACAAAGGAATTTCTCCAATGAGGTCTGGGAGCTGCAGTACTATACAGGTACAGAGATAAGCATTTGGACAGCAGTTTGATACTCTCTCCATTTAGCAAAAGTATGGTGGTGGGTTCCCTCCTGGGGCCGGTGAGCTCCGCAGTCTTGGGCTCTTAGCTGGGACAGGCATGTATTTCTTCCTGTGGAACAGTCCTTCAACGCAATCAGAAAACATCTGGTTACTCTGATAGCACTCATGTTATGATTGCACCCGTCTACGTATCTTGTCCCGCCAGCTGCTGTTGTAACTCACAGTATTCACAGCTGGTTTAGAGTGCTGGGACTCCTCCCCCTGCTCCAGCCTGCACAGCACCTCCTGCTACTGTGAGAGCTAGCTAGCAAGGACACTTCCTTGTCAGAAGCAATTTGATTTCTCTAAGTCCTGTGACCAAACTATGTGGCCTCTTCAACACTAGGGTCTTATCAAGTTCTGGTGGGCAACCCAGAGCATGGGCAGTTGCCTGTGTTTGGGGAGATCTTTGAAAAACTCCCAGCTAACACTATTTTTAGCTATTAGGTTAAGCATAACCTATTTTTTAAAATACAACAATAGATACCTAATAGAGACTTACTTGTTTGGAACAGGCCAATTTGGGGGTTTGTGTGGAAATTTATATGTGTGCAGGTGCATATGCACATGTGTGGGCATGCATGTTAAGTTCAGAGGGCAATGTAAAGCATTGCTCCTCAGGAGCCTCTTTTATTTGAGGCAGCATATCTCACTGGCCTTGAACTCAACAAGTTGAAATCCACCTGTCTCTACCCACACAGGGCTGGGACTATAGGAACATACCACTACACCCTGATTTTTTGAACATGGATTTGGGAAGACCGAACTTTTGCCTTTATGTTTGTTATCAGCTGAAATGATGGGTTCATTTGATGTAAGAAGGTCTGAGGAAAACGAGATAGATGATAGGAATGTCTAGGGTCACCACTGAAGCATGAAGAACTTGGAGAGATGCGGCAAGCACGGAGGTAGATCAAAAGGTCTGTTTTGGGGGAATCGAGGAGATGGCTCAGCTGGGGAGGGTACCTGTCACCGCGTTTAATGACCCAGGGCACATATGGAGGAAGGAGAGAATCAGCTCTCACAATTTGTTCTCTGACCTCCCCAGGCCTACATGTACATACACACACACACACACACACACACACACACACACACACACACACACACACACACATACACACATACACACATAGACATTCAAAATAAATATATGAAAATAAAGCTTTAAAAATGATTCATTTTGTACCTATTTTGGAGGGACTGCTAAATGTCCCTCCTGGACTGTCAGCCAGGCAGCCTGCTGAGCCATGCCTAAATTCAAAAATTAGTTGTTTGTCAGCATAAGATGGTTATAGAGCTGGATAGCTTTCCCATCACATGTCCACTACACTCTCACAATAATAAGTTATTATTAATTAATTAAAATAAAAAAGCATGCAGTGGATAAACACACTAGATTTCTGCCTTCTGTCCTCTGTGTGTGCAGCAGAACTCATCCTCTAGCACACATGTACACACTCACACACATACAAAGAAAACGGTTAGGGAAATGTCTCCAGTCTTCCATTCTCTCATTAACCCATTCTAACATGGCAGGAGTTCCTTGTCTCAGGCGCAGAATTAAATTAAACCATCCACAGCATTGCGTCATCAAACTCAGTGGCTCCTTCTCTCTTTCAATAGCGCCCAGCGCACTATCATACTGGACGCAGGTTATTGTTTCCATTAAAACACTTTCCCCTCTTGGAGACGATGACGGCCCTCTTCTCTCAGGCAGATGGTTCTGCTCCATGTGTCGTCTCCCACAATGCCTTAGCCTCATGCAGCTGGTAGCGAGTCCTTCCTAGAAGGTCCAAGAAGGCTTCGTTTGCATCCTCTTCCACGGAGGATACGGCAAGAAGGCACGTAGTAGCTGGCCATCCTCCCTTTCCAGTGGACCCTCCTGCAGGGGGGTTCAGTGTGTTACACAGGAGCTCAAGTCTGACAGCGGGTGTTCCCAGGGGAGCAGAAAAGCAGGGCAGGGGTTAGGTTATGAAGTCAAAGGCTTTCCTTGAGAATTACGGGTGATAGCTAAAGCACATTGGCCTCTGATGGGAATATTCTAGAAAGGGGAAAGAGATGAATGTTGCAGAAGAGAGAAAGTGCAACCGGGACCAAATGACTTGAGAAGAAAAGGGATGCAGAGCAGAGCGGGGGACCAGCCTCAAGTCAAGCAAACAGTCCCGAGGGTGGAGAGAAGAGCACTGAGCAGATGAGTGTGGCGTCTCCTCCACTGCGCCTTCCTTTCCCTTACTGATTTCATCTTAACTGGCCCCTGTGCACTCCCTCTTTCCAAGCTCTGTTTTCCTCCATGACCCATGTGCATATCTTCAGTGTACATGTCACTGTCCACAGCAACACAAATGCTGTCTTGATCTTCTTCCTTCCTTCCTCCCTCCCTCCCTCCCTCCCTTCCTTCCTTTCTTTCTTTTGGTTTTTAGAGACAGGGTTTCTCTGTGTGGCCCTGGCTGTCTTAGAACTTGCTCTGTAGACCAGGCTGGCTTTGAACTCACAGAGATCTGCCTGCCTCTGCCTCCTGTGTGCTGGGATTAAAGGTGTGTGCCACCACCACCCAGCTTTGATGTCTCTCCCTCTCTCTTCCTCTCTCTCTGTCTCTGTCTCTCTGTCTCTGTCTCTCTGTCTCGGTCTCTTTCTCTCTCTCTCTCTCTCTCTCTCTCTCTCTCTCTCTCTCTCTCTCTCTCTCTCTCTCTCTGTGTGCATCTATAGAGGTCAGAGGACAAGTTGCATCATTCAAGTCTAATTCCACCACACTAGTCCCAGTTATGGAATTCAGGTGGCCAGCCTTGGCAGTACGTGCCCTTACATTCTGAGCCATCTCATTGGCTCATCCCCGCAGTGATGATTTCTTTGACTGCCCTCATTGGATGTAACCCCCTAGAGACTTGTCATTCTTCTTAGCATCTAGAACAGTGTCTGGTTCATAGCTGATACTCAGTGTAATGCCAGCCAAGTAAGGGAGCTGCTGAATGGTGGAGTATTATATCTCAGAGAGCTGTACACGCGGAAGTGGCACCAGGAGAAGGCGATACTCTGAAATGATGGCATTGCATCGCAAGAGTTTCATGGTTCCATGGGCCACTTGGTGAGAACAGCCTGGGTCTTAGGGGCTCCAGCCACAACCCTCTCTTCTGTGTTGTTAATTGGCAGCTATCATGATGAAGTTCTGAGCCCTGCTGAGCCACAAGGATTAGGATTTTTTTTTTTTTTTTTTGGCACGAAGTGAGTGAACGGCTCACCTTTCTGGCTCATTTTTTTCCCATGGCTCTCTGTTTCCTCCAACTTACTTAATCCCCTCCTGACCAGTTTAGGCACCTGTTCTGCTTTTCTCTCCTTAAAGTTGGGGGATGGGCTGGGGTGGACAAGAGGAATGAAGCACCTGGCCAGGACCGTGCAGCAGGAGGACTCTGGCTGACCTGGAGCTGTGGCACCAGGGACGGCCTCAGGCAAGCTCAGGTTGGCCAATCCAGAGCTGTCCAAGCCTCTGGGCTGCAGGCCTCAGGATTGATCAGTCCCTGCGCTTGTCCACTCTCAGTCTGTCCTTCTGTCTCAGGCCATGGCCAAGCTGATAGGGCTCACCTTTGTGGGGTTGCTGCTGGCACTCTACAAGAATCACCAGTCTTCCTATCAGTAAGTTTGGTGGGGTGAGTGGGTGAGTGGGGTGAGGGGGTGAGTGAGAGGGGTGAGTGAGTGGGGTGAGTGGATGAGTGGGGTGAGTGGATGAGTGGAGTGAGTGGGTGAGCGAGTGGGGTGAGTGGATGAGTGGAGTGAGTGGGGTGAGTGGATGAGTGGAGTGAGTGGGTGAGTGGAGTAAGTGGGGTGAGTGAGTGGGGTGAGTGGAGTGAGTTGATGAGTGGAGTGAGTGGGTGAGTGGGGTGAGTGGGTGAGTGGGGTGAGTGGATGAGTGGATGAGTGGGGTGAGTGGGGTGAGTGGATGAGTGGAGTGAGTGGGTGAGTGAGTGGGGTGAGTGGGGTGAGTGGATGAGTGGGGTGAGTGAGTGGGGTGAGTGGGGTGAGTGAGTGGGGTGAGTTGATGAGTGGAGTGAGTGGGTGAGTGGGGTGAGTGGGTGAGTGGGGTGAGTGGATGAGTGGATGAGTGGGGTGAGTGGGGTGAGTGGATGAGTGGGGTGAGTGGATGAGTGGGGTGAGTGGGTGAGTGGGGTGAGTGGATGAGTGGATGAGTGGGGTGAGTGGGGTGAGTGGATGAGTGGGATGAGTGGATGAGTGGGGTGAGTGGGGTGAGTGGGTGAGTGGGTGAGTGGGTGAGTGGGTGAGTGGGGTAAGTGGGGTGAGTGGATGAGTGGGTGAGTGGGGTGAGTGGATGAGTGGGGTGAGTGGGGTGAGTGGATGAGTGGGTGAGTGGGGTGAGTGGGGTGAGTGGGTGAGTGGGGTGAGTGGATGAGTGGAGTGAGTGGGGTGAGTGGGTGAGTGGGGTGAGTGGATGAGTGGATGAGTGGGGTGAGTGGGGTGAGTGGATGAGTGGGGTGAGTGGATGAGTGGGTGAGTGGGGTGAGTGGATGAGTGGGGTGAGTGGGGTGAGTGGATGAGTGGGGTGAGTGGGGTGAGTGGGGTGAGTGGGGTGAGTGGGGTGAGTGAGTGGGGTGAGTGGGGTGAGTGAGTGAGTGGGGTGAGTGGGGTGAGTGAGTGGGGTGAGTGGGGTGAGTGGGGTGAGAGCTGCGCCCCATGGTCTCCACCTCTGCCAGCTCCAGAAGCACCTCCACACCCTAAAGTAGCTCCAGGTTCTTAGCAGGAAAGTCTACAGCTGTAGCAAACCTTCCTGACTTAGAGAACCTCAATTTGAGGCTCCACGGAGGGAGACAGACAGAAAGCCGGCTTGTGGACTGGCCCACATAGAAGGAACCATTCCCTGGTGTGGTCCACACACTCCAATGGGTGCTGGGCTGGAGCAAGGGGCCATCATGCTCGTGAATACTGGACTGGTTTTGCTTTGAACAAGGTATCTTGGGCAAATCATTTTGCATCTCTAACAATGAATGCTCCAATAAACCGGACATAGTGGCATACACTTACATAGAAAATTGCCAACAAGGAGCCCAGGACTCAGTAGCTATTCAGTGGTATTTGCTCCTACTTCCCTTGAAAGCATTTAATAACCCACCAGGGTGTTAATGGGCTGGAGGCTGAGAATGTGTGTGAAGTTTCAGGATAATCTCTCATAAGGGTTCAAAGTCTAGACACCATCCTACTCCAAAAGGCTTAGTCAATACTATTGTGTTATTTACTCTGAAGTAAAAAATTAATCAACATGGACTATTGGGATTAAACAGTTATATAATCTTATGGACTAATTAGAATTCTTACCCACAGAGTTGGGGTTTGTAAATTATTATTTCTTAAATCACAAAATATTAGAAAAGTATTTGGGCTTGAAAAACTTGCATGTATAGTATATGTTTGTGTGTGTATGGCTGTACCTGCCCATGTGTGCACCTGGGGAGGTCAGAGATTGGTGTTAGAAATCTTCTTCCATCACTCTCGACCTCATTTTTTTTTTGGGGGGGGCAGTTTCAAGATAGGGTTTCTCTGTGTAGTTTTGCATCTTTCTTGTAGACCAGGCTGGCCTCGAACTCACTAAGATCCACCTGGCTCTGCCTCCCAAGTGATGGGATTAAAGGTGTGCACCACCACCGCCCAGCTTCGACCTCATTTTTTTGAGGCAGGATCTCTCACTGAAACTAGAGCTCCCTGACTGCCGAGATTGTCTAGTTGAGGAGCCCCAGAGGTCTACCTGTCTCTGCTTTGCAATGTAGAATTACAGGTGTATACTGCTGCATCCTGCTTTTTTCATGGGTGCCAAGGGTGAGAACATAGGTCCTCATACTTCTGTAGCAAGCATCTGAACCAAAGAGCCATCTCTATAGCTTGATTTGGGCTTTTAACTGCTGTAAAAATCAGTTAAATTACAGACTGGGAATTGTGTGCAGTCTCCTGGAAGATCTCTGACAGGAGAAAGAAGGGACACAACACCCACTGACCAGAAGCTCTAAAGCCTCAACACACACGAGGATCCATGGGTCTCAGAGGTACCCAAGACCTCCCTGGATAAGCAGAGTCTCAGGCCCCAATTTCCATGATTGAATCTGATCAGTAGTACTTAGCAATGCCCCCACCATGGGAGATTTGTTTGCTCTGTAAAGGACACACAAACCTTGCTTTCTGGAACCAGAGCCTGAGGGATGGATAAAGACCTACTCCTATTTTGGAGACAATGCACCTGACCTCAGGAAGATCATGAATCTGCTGCCCAGGGAAGAGAAGAGAAAAATGGGACTGTGTCATATCAGCACATGATGGCAAGCCCTGACCTCAGAGAAGATACAGGCTTCTTCAGAGATGGACTGTATGTGGGCAGGGGTGTGGTGTGCACATGAGAAGGTGGAGGAAGGTCACAGCAATCTGCTCAGGACCAGCCTGTGCCTTGCAGGATTTCCTGAACATCTGATATGGGAGAGGCAGAGAGGAAGAAATCAGGGTTCTGCTTCACCTCTGTAGTCAGTTCAGGCATGTGGCTTTTCATGATATTTATCATAGAAATCTAGAGAATGCCTAGGACAACACAGAACATTCCTTGAAGATGTGAGACACTGAGAACCAAAAAGCCTCCTGCCTAGATTTGCCACCACAACGTGTAAGACCTCTGTGACCAAGCTAGCATTAATTCTTCGACATATCTCTGCTACCTCACACTCACGCTAGGTAGTATGTCCTCTAGGCAATGATGGGGGTGGACTCCCAGCAACATGGATAAGATCTCATTTCTGCAACTTTCAATTTATTTTCTCATGTGAATGCCAAGAAAAGTTACAAACCTGTTTCTGTACCTGAAACTCATGGAACAATAACACACATCGCACTAGGACATACAAAACCAGGCACGCAATGAGCTCCCTGCAATCATTCGCTTTCACACTTGTCATAAGTGACCTCAGAAATCCACCACACGAGTCTAGTGAATGATACTTGGTGTGTTAGTCAGACCCTTTGTGACTGTAAAAAAAACCTGAGAGAAACAAGTTAAACAAAAAAGACTTAATTTGGCTCCAGGTTTTGGGAGTTGAAGCCTGTGGGGTTTGGTTCACAGCAGTGAGCCTGCTGTAAGGAAGATCAGGATGCGGACGTATATCTTAGTTAGGGTCTCTCTTGCTGTGAAGAGACATCATGACCACGGCAACTCTTGCAGAGGAAAACACTTAATTGAGGTGGCGGCTTACAGTTTCAGAGGTTCAGTCCATTATCATCATGGCGGGGAGCATGGTGGCATGCAGGCAGTCATGGTGCTGGCCATATCTTGATTAGAAGGCAATAGAAAAGTGACTGTGACATTGAGTGGTATCTTGAGCATAAGAGACCTCACAGCCAGCTCCCACAGTGACACAACTTCCTCCAACAAGGCCACACCACACTCCAACAGAGCTACACCTCCTCATAGTGCCACTCCCATTAGCCGATGGTAGCTAATTCCATTCAAACTACCTCAGGATGGTAAGAGCAGGGGACAGAGAGCTACTTATCACATGATGGCCTTAAGCAGAGAGAAACAACCAGAATAAAATGCTTGAGGACAAGATAGATTTTCAAATTCACAGGCCCAGTGGCCCACTTCCTCCAACCTTGCCCACCTTCCATAGTGTCCATGATCTCCAAAGAGTCCATTCAATTATAGATCCATGAATGCATTACTCTTATTAATTAGATCAACACCATCATGACCCAATCACTTCCTAAAGGCCCCATCTCTGAGCATTGCACTGAGACCATACCTTCAACACATGAGCATGTTGGAGATAGTTTATATAATATTTGAATATTACCTTAATTTTTGACACTATGGCTAAGGCTGAATTGTCTTCCAGACCTGCTGGCCCCATCAGTATATCTTTACCATCTTCTCTGTCTGATGTACTAGACTGAGAGTGTTACAGAACAGCTCAGTAGACATCAGCTGAATTCCCTCCTCTACAAGTTCTATGTTCACATTGGAAGCCACATTGGAAGTAATGTCATGTAGCATTACTCACCAATTTAATAATTTAGAGGGAGCAACAAGACCAAAAACTAATTATTAAAAAGCAGCATGATAGGGGCTTGATAGACATTTATGTCATGTTCCATGAAAACGAATGAAGGAGCTACTGATCTCATCACCAAAGACCACAGGAGGCTATGGAAGGCAGAAACAAGCTATAGATGATGAGGGAAAGGACAGCCAAAGTGAAGCAAAAAATGTAGGCTAATGAAAAGGGTACAAAGGACAAGTAGGAAACAGAGTGCTTTGAATCTTGAGACTTGATATCCTGTCTGTGTTGTACCTTTTAAATTAAGGGGTCACATCTGAATGGCCTGGTGTTTGATGTTTTCACATATAGAACAAGGAAAAGGTGAGAGAGAAACAGAGAGAGAGAGAGAGAGAGAGAGAGAGAGAGAGAGAGAGAGAGAGAGAGAGAGAATCAGAGACAGAGTGAGAGAGGATGCTGTAGAGATTGAACCCAGAATCTTGACTATGCCAAGCAAGTCCTCTACCTGAGCTATACCCCCAACTTGGAAAATATGAATCTTTATTTTGAGAAGTGCTTGAAGGATTAAATAAGGAAGTATGTGTAAGTGACCTTAGCATGTGGGGTTTGGCACGCAGTAGCCTTCATAAAGAAATCCAGATAAATGAGGAATGCTTGATAGTACATGGAAGTACCTGGGTCCCAGAGTGCCATCATAGCTTAAGAGTCTAGTGTTCTTTGGCAGGGAGTCAGTGTCTATTTGTACAGAACAGCTCACAGCAAAGTTTATGTGATTTCTGGATGGACTTCAGAGGCTTCGGAATCAGGGACGCAACTCTGACATTGAACTTTATTTATGAGATCCAGAACACTTGTCCTTGACAAGCTATTTCCTAATAATGTAAGAGCGGCCGCAAAGCTGACAGCTAGCCACAGGCTTGCAGGTGGATGAGTGTTCGGATGCACCTTTGTCTCTGCAGTGGTGTCGTCTGTAAACCATGCCCAGTGAGAGGGCTGAAGGCAGACTGGCCTGCGTGTTTGTCTTCCAATTTTGGCTTAACCTCTTCTTAACTGCTTACTCTTAGCCATCCGTAATTAGGGAAAAGAATACCAGAGAGGGGTGTTTGAGAGTTAAAAGGGGACCTGAAGTGTGCCGTCAATGACATCCTGTTAGAATCTGGCTTGGTTGGACTATAAGTTGGCACCCAGAGTAAGTGGGTGCAGACCTCCTCTCCCCTTGCCTGCTTTGGGCTCCGACTCACTGTACTCACTGTGACGAGTCTGATGAGAACGGCCTGATGAGAACGGCTGAGTCAATTGGCTTCTCTCTGTCCGGTGTAAACCTGTTGTACTCGATGGACCTCGTGAACTAGATACCACCTTACTCTTCTTGTGTGCTCCGACTCTAAAAAATCACTGGCTCCTTCCACAAAGTTTAACCCATTCAGTGATTTCACGTGCTTGAAGTTCTTCTTTGTGACTCACTTTGCCTTGTGTTCTGACCTTTGCTCTTAATATCTTGAACCTGTTCTTTGTCCTTTATTGAGGCACTCTGCAAACATTCACTGTCTGTTTCCCCCAAAAGTGTTTTTCCTAGTGGCAGGTCACAATATCAGCATGGGAAATCAAGACCAACATTTTAAATTGAGTGGAACTGAAAAAAACAAAACAAAACAAACAAGAAACCCCTTAAGAACTAAGAACATACCACATGGGGCCAGAGATACAGCTCGGAGGTAAAGTGTTGCCTCTCATGTGCGAAGCCCCGACTTCAATCCCTACCAGAGGAGAAGAAAAGCATGTATTCTAAGGATTAGGAGGATTATGTTGTGAAACTTGTTTCGTGTGTGTGTGTGTGTGTGTGTGTTGTTGTTGTTGCTGCTGTTGTTTTTAGGTATGTGCACAGACACTGTCTGCATCATCTAAAATGCTTTTCCTAATACGGCTCTCAGTCTGAAAAGCTGGTAAGCCATTGTTGTATCACTTTTCTTTTATTTCTTTATCATAAGCTTTTATGATGACAATGTCAAATTGTAGTCCAGCAGCATTTTTTCAATTTTCCTTTTCTGACATGCTTCTTAGATTTCCAAGTCACAGGACAGATCCCAACTTTTCCTGAGCTGATTCCTGTCACTGAGGGAGCATGGCCTGCCAGCATGCCCTGCATTTCTCATCTGTTTGATTATGTATGCTTCTCTCTCATCCATCCCTGTGGGTTTCCATTCTGGTCCTGCACTGGGACAAACTCAGGTGCTCTCACAGAGGAGAATACTCACCTGCACTTATACCTCATTTGTCCAGACTGTCCTAGACTATGGAATTGACAGCCACTAACACGAGGGTAGAAAGATCTCAGTTCTTTTTTCTGAAGAAAGGACACACCCTCAGTTCTTACTGTCCTTTGCATTTGCAGTCACAGTGAGGACATTTTATATAGTGACAGTGTTTATTCACTGCTGGCTCATCTTCTGTGAGACTAAATTGCCAACAAGGTAAGAAGAGAAGCTCTCAGCCCGTTGCCAGTCAACTAAACTCGCCAGGGACTCTGGGATAATTGTCACTACTTAGCAAGGCTGTCCTAGGTTGTTTGTTCTAGAAGCTGCATAGCTGGTCTGGCCTTCCCGGCTTCTTCCACATGCCACAGCAATGGCTTTGCTCTGTTCAGGAGCCTGCTGGTACTTCACTCTCACATTTGTTCATTTTCCCTTCGTCCTTCACTCAAATATTCCCCATGATGCTTATGTCCTCAGATTCAACAAACTGTTTCTTTTCCTCTGTTTACATATATGTATAAATATGTAAATATGTCTGCTTACATAGAGGTGCTTGCCCACATGTGTGATGCCTTTTTGCATGCTGTGCCTGAAAATGACTTTCTGAAGTTGTATAAACAGTCTTATAACACACCTGCATTTTCATATCTAAAAAGCAAATACCTCATCTGGGCCGTAGAGTCAGACAGAATAGAAAATACATATTCTTGAGTTATATGGAAGGTATCCCCATATTTTAATGTAAGCATTTGAAATTGCTTGTATTTACTGTATGGTTTTCAAATATTTAACTGATTGGGAACTATGAAGTAGCATATGTACTTAGAGTCTAGATGTTTAGAGAAATAGCAAGCTCTTCCTACGGGAAGCTCTCAGCCGTCAGTGGCGTTAACTGGAGCTCTGCTGCAATTCAGTCTAACTTCCCACAGCGGAATTCAAGTACAACTGATGGAATAGTTCCCGCCAAGGTGCACAGAGTCTGGAGAACGCCACGTGCCTCTTTATGCATCTGTCCTCCTCTGCACACAACTGTCCTCACTCAACTCTGTGTTGTACCTCAGGGTCCCCACTGGTCTTGAAGAATCACAGCTGCCCAGGAATATTAACTTGGGGGGATACCCAAGGCAAAACACAGTTAAGGAGAACTTTGTGGACCTACTTTTGTGCCTCAACTCTACCTTCTGAATTTTTTATGTGTATTTTATTCTTTTCTCCCTTCTAGAAGAAGATTAAATGCTCTCCGCGAAGTAACTCCTGTAGACCTTCCTAACTGCAATTTAGTTAAAGGAGTCGGTATGTACATAGACGAGGAAGTGCCAGATTTCAAATGCAAGGATATTATCTCACTGTATATTTTACTAATGCTCTAGTTCAGTTTTAGTTAAAGGAGTCGGTATGTATATTGACGAGGAAGTGCCAGATTTCAAATGCAAGTATATTATCTCACCATATATTTTACTAATGCTCCAGTTCAGTTTTGTCCAAAATTACAACATTGAATCAGGAGTGTAATACAGAGTCAGGAGTTGCTTACAAATGCCATGCACTTTGACTTTTGACCTCACACATGTATTACCAAGATGCTTCCATTTTTATTGGGTTTTGTTTGGTCAACAGAACAAAAGCTATGTCCAGAACTATAGTTTCATGGCAACAAAACCCAAGGAGCTGGCAAAAGGGAGAGGAAGGAAAAAGATTAAAGCCTAAAATAAAGAATGATTTTTTAATGAACGCTCTCACAGGCAGTTACCACAAGGCTTTTTCATGTGCCCCCTCTTTGATTGTTGGTGAGGAGACTCTTTTCCAGAACTTCTCAGCAGATTTCCCCTTAGATCTCATTAGGCAGAGCTGGGGGACAGGCTGATGTTTAGCTGCAAAGGAAGCCGGGAAGATAATTACTGGTGTCCATCCTGGGAGGCAAGACCTGTCAGCAAAGATAAAAAGGTGGCGGAATAGTAACCCCTGGTAACCAACTCAGAGCATCCCAGAGCTCAAGTGTGCATCTTGTTTCAGCCAACCAGCTAGCTTTGTTAGTGGAGGTCAACTCATTTGAGATCCATGCTTTTGCTGTATTTCGGTAGTGGTTGTTGGCTTCTGCTTTTAGGTTATTTGTCTGAGATGATGATAGTGCAGAAAGTGAGTCAAGAAGACTCGTTTAGGTAAGATTCTTAAACGTGAGCAGATCTCTTACAGCACAACATTTTTTCTCGGAAAGTGTAATATTGCTGTCAAATATCCCTGAGTAGCTGAAAAATATACACGCCCATTAAGGGTCTGACTACAAAAACAAATACTTCATTTGTCTCTGTATTAATTTAAAGTTTTAAAATTTAAATGTATTTAAGGGGTAACTCGCTTGAAAATATATTTTATTGGTATTTATACTTAGCAAGTACATGCTACCAACTATCAGTAAAATATCCCCACCTAAAAACAAAAATTTTGGGTTTGCTTGTATTTCTAACATAGTTTTCAGATGTTTAATTGATTTGAAACTACGATGTACTTGGAGTTTATGAGTTCAGGAGTTTAGGCTAATACCAACTCTTTCCAAATAATCAAATGTTTTATATTTTGTGAGTTTCCATGGACTCACAAATATATATGAGAGATCTTGATTCTGAGATAAAAAGCCATCAATTTGAAGCAAGTATATGAAGTGCAAATCGTCATTGTGCTTGTTGATGATATTAATATTCTTTAAAATTCCATATAGTCAAGCCAGGCACAGTGGCACATGTCTCTCATCCCATCACCTGTGAGAGTCATCCTCAATTTACAAAGTGACTTCAAGGCTAGCCTGGGTTACATGAAACTCTGCAAATAAATATAAAATTCATTGTTTTTGTCGTGATTTTGGTTTTTCCAGACAGAATTTCTCTGTGTATCAGCCCTGGCTGTCCTAGAACTTGCTTTGTAGACCAGACTGACCTCGAACTCACAGAGATCCTCCTGCCTCTGTCTCCCAAGTGCTGGGATTAAAGGCATGTGTCACCACCACCTGGCTAAAATTCATTCTTTAATGTTCTTATGATCACATTCATCAATTTGAATGAAAGGAAAGCTTCATTCTGAACCTGGCAAACAGGAGCTCATATAGAGACCCATTTTCAAGTGAGAGGAGATAAGCAGAAGGACTGTCAGCTTCCTGCAAAACCTTGAAACAATCTGTCCTTCTGCTTCCTTCCTGCAGAAACAGGTGCTGAAGACTTAGAGATCCTCCCTAATGGACTGGCTTTCCTAAGTACTGTGAGTGTTTGCTCTTTTACTGTGTTCTAGAACATTTTCTGGGACTGGCAATTTAAGTTTTCCTTAGGCCTTCTGTAGAGCAGTGTCCACTTTCAAATGAGATGGGTGATCACCTTACTCTCTCATGGGGCGGGGAGTTGTGTTGTACTCACCTAGGACTTGGCTGAAGGTGATGTGAAGTGTGTAGGGGATAACCATAAAGGAGCCTTTGGCTTCCAGAGTGGGCCTGTCATACAAGTCAGTCAGTTAAAAGGTGGCCCTGTGGTCACCTGTGGCCCAGAGCAGTTGTCATGGACACACATATCAATCAAAACCTCTTGGCTCTTGAAGTATCTGTGATATGCCTGCTTTTTCTCCACTGTTCTTTTAAGGGACTAAAATATCCTGGAATAAAAAGTTTTGATCCCGATAAGCCTGGAAAAATACTTCTGATGGACTTGAATGAGAAGGACCCAGCAGTGTTGGAATTAGAAATTACAGGAAATAAGTTGGATAAATCGTCATTCAACCCTCATGGAGTTAGTACATTCACAGATGAAGGTAATATTGAATAAAAAAATTTAAAGGGTAAAAGTATGCCAAACAATAAATACTTTTTCTCATTCTATGAAAGGCTAGTCATGAATAATTTTTATGGGTTTTGCCTTACCTCCTGTTTTAAGTAAGCAATACTAAAATCATTTCAATGCTTGAAAATGCTAAATATCTCAGATGTGTAAAGCCACTGATTTCATAGACTAGTAGTATTCACATTATGTCTATAAAATAATTATATACTCAGCTTTAACTGCAATGGGCTTTCCAGGTCAAACAATCGGAAGATGCAAACATCTGCAGCCAGTTTTTCCAGCCCCGAATCCTTGCTACAGTAGACAGAGTGACACCTCTTCCCGGCACCGCTTTCTCAGCCCATCCCTGGGCGCTCTCTTCACTGTTCAGAAGCTCATCTTCATTCGAGGCTTCCAGCTGCACCTGTTCCCCCACCCACCATGCCATCACTCACTGCCTTTCCCTGGGTGCTTGGTGCCATTTCCTTTGCAGTATGGTAATTCTCAAATTCAGGTACACACAGAAACACCTGGAAATGTAAAAATCCCAATGCACAACCTTCAGCCCCAGAGAATTGAATTCTGCCGGCTTGATGGTGGCTGGGGCAATGGTTAAGACTTGTCCAGGTGACAAAAATGTTCATTTATGCTCGTTGTCTCCATTCCCTCCTCCGCTTCTTCCCTTCCCTCCCCTCTCTCCCTTTCTTCCATCCTTCCTCCCACCTGACTTTTTTCTATTACCCACTTTCACCTTCAAGAGCATCACCCCTACCTGATAATCCAGCTTCTGTGAGCAGCATCTGCTCTTCCTGACAGCATCCCCTTAATCAGTCACTGTAACTCTTTGAGAGTTCCTCATAGTCTCAGTTCAACCTTTTGCTGCCTCTTTATTTCCCTCATCCAGACATTTCAACCTAGTGTCACTGTCTGTGCCTGTATTCTAGGAGACTATCCACAAATATGTGTTATCAACATTATTTTCCCTTTAGATGCTCAGTCCCATGCTGAAAGTTCTTCCTAGATACTTCCATTTGTGTTCCTCTCCTATGACCACTTTAAACTAAAAATGTCAAAAAATGATTATATACGTGTGTGTGTGTGTGTGTGTGTGTGTGTGTGTGTGTGTGTGTGTGTGTGTGTGTGTTACCAAACTCTTTGGTAGGTGGCTTTTGTCACCGGAGCCAGGCTTCTTTTTATGCCTGCATTTAGACCCACTTTCAGGGCTCTCGGGATTCAGTTGTGTGGGAGTCCTGAGCACTGACCATTTGCTTGTACATAAGGAGGTGTTTTCACCTTTTTACCTCTTTACAAGCAGTTCCAGCGTGACACTCTTCTTGCACACGGATCATCTATAAACATTTTGGGGATCAACTTCTAAAGGGAGAATCTTCTGTATAGAATATGAATCCTGGTTTAATTCCCACATTTATGTGGTGTCTGACTTCCTTGCTCTTCAGCTGTCCCCAGGGCTTTTGCTGTGTCCTGTCAAATGCCTCTCGTGTCCTCTCCTGTCCTTTTGTGGTCAGTGTTATTCTGTTAACATGGATGCTCCTCTTTCTGAATGGGGTTCCTACTGCAGTCTCAAGCCGTGTCCTTACATGTTGATGGTCACAACTGATAAAACCTAGATCCTACCCCAATCCCCAGCAAGACTGCTCCTGCACACCCCCTCCGTGGCCCCAGATCCCTCACTTCTCTGGGCTCTAATCACTACTTCGCTATTAAGTGACTATATCAAGGACCTCTTGCCTCAGAGCTTCCGCAGATTCTCTTCCCTCAACTTGGAATATTCTTTCTCCAGATCTCTGCACAGTTTCCTCTTGTTTCATTTAGCTCTCTGCTCTAATACTATCCTGTTGGAAAGAAGGTCCCTAACTGCTATGAAGAAGACACTACATTACCCTCTAGTTCTTTATCATATGACAATATTCCTTTGTAGTATCTAAACTTAACACCAATGAAAAATACATGCTTGTTGAATGGGTCAATCAAAAATATCTGAGCTGGCTTTTTGGTTCACATCTGCTAAATAGTGTATCACTTTCCTTTAAATACCAATTTGATGATCTCAGAGTTTTTCAGAGATACCCCACTGCTTCCTCTTTTTGCCTTCCTCCTCATCCTCCTCCTCTTCTCCTTGAGACATGTTCGTTCTTACTCTGTAGCCCAACAAGCAACTCTCCTGCCTCCACCAACTAGGATTAGAAAGTGAGCCACCACTCTCTTCTCACTACTTAGGCAAGTAGCCTGGCATCACATTTTCTCTGGCCACATCTGCTTTACCACGTAGAGCACTTTCTTTCATGCCCAAAGTCCTCCTCTATCTCTCACACATTCTCCCTGAGGCATTTGCCATCTTCCACTGTGAAAATTACCTGCGAGTTCGCCATCTGCTGTGGAAATTACACAAAAGCTCACCGTCCATTGTGGAAATTCCACGCAAGCTCACTGTCTGGTCCAGTTCTCACACCCTCAAATCCTTTTACCTCAACTTAATATTCCACGAAGATCACTTGAACTATCACAGCTTAACAAGCTGTCTGGAGTTTCAGTGCCGGTGATGTTCGTTCTGAAGTTCGGGGCTTTTTTTCTCTCCTGTGAAGCTGTGAGTCTTCAGAGGTTGTCACTACTTTTTCCTTTAGCCACTTTTCTTAGGAGCAATCACAAACGCTTTTCTCTACAAAGATGAAAATATTCCATCTGCCTGACATCCTAAGTACTAGTTGGAGGTGGGTTGAAATTGCTTTGGGGAGGGGAATGACAGTTGAGAGCTTCACTAATGCTTCAATTTTTGTTTTTCATCTCCTCGCAGATAATGCCGTGTACCTACTGGTGGTAAACCATCCAGACTCCAAGTCCACTGTGGAGGTGTTTAAATTTCAAGAAGAGGAAAGATCGCTTTTCCATCTGAAAACCATCACACATGAACTTCTGCCTAGGTACTGTAGTGCCTTGTATGTACAGGTCCCTTGATGGTGGAAAACAGCTCCCTTACATTTAGCTTTTGATCTGGGCCAGGGCAGACCCCTTCTGAATGTTCTTCTTCAGAACTTATTGAAACTCTGCAAGCCTAAGAGCGGGCTCATTCCCTTCTTCCCTCACCTACTGCGTTTTGGGTAGTCACTATAGCTTAGATGCCATCCTCAAGATCTCTATCAAGCCATTCAAGAAATTAAAAAACAAAACAAAACAAAACTGCTTCTTTACAAGACCAATCTCAGATGGTCTTGTTCTTTCCAGTCAGATATACAAGAGAAGATCCCAAACTCAGTGCATCTTAGACATCCTTATACAGCATCTACTAGTGGTGTGTTGTGCATCATTTATACTAATACTGGTTTCCATGCTAGATTCCTGGACAACATAACATGTGGGAAAAGTAGACACCCAAAGATATCAATTGTTGCCCACCCAACACAAAGTCAACCTTCTCACTTAGCCTATGAAGAATTGGTCTATGGACCCATTGAATGATTTAAGATAATCTAATATCATCTTCCCAATAACTTTTATAACTTTTATTATGGTTTTCTAGAATTCTAGCACCTTCTTGTATAATTTAAGAACAGCATTCATCCACCTTGGTATTTGTACATTTAGATCTGTACTTGTTGCTGGCTCCTGGCAAAGTCTTGGCATCCGGTATGCACTGTTTGACCTGGGAATCCCCTCTCCCACCTCACTCGGCAGATGTGATGATGAGGAAACAGAGTATAAAACAGTTACTAGATAAAGCTTGACTAACTAGTTACTGGCCAAGTAGGGCCCAAAGCCCAGGGTTTCTGCGTACTAGGATGAGATCAAATGGAGAGAATCGGTTAGAGGTAGAAATTTCTATTTATACAACAAGTGTATTTCAGGAGATGGGGTATAGTTCAGTTGAAAGAATACTTGCCCAACATGCACAAAACCCTGGGTTCAATCCCTAGCACTAAATACAGCAGGCATGATGGTACATGTCTGTAATCCCAGCCATTGGGAGTTCAAGGCCATCCTCAGCACATAAGGATTTTGAGGTCAGGCTGAGATACAAGATATATATATATATATATATATATATATATAAAATTTTAAAGAGAGAATGAGGCCTTCAAGTATCTGAAGAGCCCAAAGAATATTCGGGGGAAGACATGTAAACTGAAGAAGCTGACGGAATGATGGCAGCAGACAATGGAAGGAGCCTCAGGTAGAAGTCAAGTGGTATGCAGACGGCCTAAACACGTGGTTTATTGACTGCTTGAGAACAGCTTCTTAATTTGGCATTATTATGACAGCATATGTGGATTTAACTGTTCTTGAGACCTGGCCTATCTGTGCAGTTGCCTTACAAGCTCAGCCATTAATATAGCTGGGATTAGCTTGAAGCCAGAGCTAGCCCTCTGACTCACAAGAAATCATGAAAATTATTACTATTATTATTATTTTTAGTCACCAGTATTTCCAGTTTTGCAGAACAGGGATTTGTTTTCTGGGTCACATGTGAAAAAACTGTGGATTGGTAGCACAGAACATAGAACCAGACCACAAATAATCAGAGTGCCACAGTCAACTAGAATTTGGCTCTTTCTACCAAAGGATTAGTCATGCACATTTGTAGCTTTGTATTTTAGGGTTGTTTATAGTATTAATATTCGAATTACTAAACCTGTAATAAGCTAATCATGTTAATAACAACATCACGACTTTTATTATTGGTCCTTTATGTATGCCAGAAACGATGGCAAGGCCTTTATACTCACTGTTCCATTTCATCTTTACCCGACATGCCAAACTACAGAAAAAACACTGAGTTTCAGGAAGTGGCTCAAAGTTGGGTGACATGCTGTGGCCCCACGTTGTGACCATAGCACACAGGCTCAGATTCAAACAGTACATCCAATTTCAAAGCCATTGCTCCAAACCATTCCCATCTGCTCCTTTTCCATGGAGAGCTGCATACTAATTTCTAAACTCTGCTTTTAAAAAGAGAAATAAGAGCAGCTTGTCAGTTTTTGTCCGAAACCTGCATAGACTCATCGTACCTCCATGGACGTTTTCCACTGTGGTAATAGTAGCTGATGCTGATGGAAGACTTGGTGAGTCTGGCTCCCAGCAAAGCTGACAGCTCTGTCTCATTGTAATTCCCACCGTGATTCCACAGTTGAGATTCCGACCACAGGCTTTTCTAACGAGCTGTGTGAGTTGGAGGGGAAAATCGTTTATGCTCTCCTTACAGATGAGAAACTGAGGCTCTGTGTACCATCTCACTCACTCCTGAGCCCTGGCTGCGTCAGAGCTGACGCATTTACTGCTATGCACTCTGCAGCAGAGTAAAGCTCATTTTCTCTCAGATCATGGCCCCAGGGAACTTCTGTCACCTCAATCAGCAAGGAATGACTCACTTATGGGTTTGCTATTGTACCTATTAAAGCTGAAAAATAGACTCATATATCTTACGTTTTCAGCATCACAGAGACAGAATCCTAATGAGAAAGAAAAGAGCCAAACATCCTATTTTTGAACGTTCTTGCTCATGGACTCGTTCAGTTAAGAGGCATGAAACTTCACGGCAAATGATAGAAGAGGCCATCATCCTTCCTTCCCTGATAAGGAAACTGAGGCCATAATATACGAAAGGATTGATTCTCCCTTAGATCACACAGCTAATAAGGCTGGAACCACAGTGCTACCAGATCAATGTTTTTATTCCCTGTTACAATAGGCAAGCCATTGGACTTATAGGAGTCAGTGTCATGTGTGCTGAATCATCTTGCCCTGCTTATGATCTCTGGCTTAATTCAATATTTACTGAACACACACACACACACACACACACACACACACACACATACACACAAACAAACACACACACAGCGTTACATTTATACTACAGCTAGTATTATTTTCATGTCTCAGTATTAATAATCAGATCTTATTATCCTTGGAGATTGGCTAGGACTGATGTCATAGCTATCCCTGTTGGTGTGAGGACTCCATTCCATATTTTGACTTTAAGGCTAGACTTTAATGACTACCAATGTCTAATCCTATAATATGTGCTATCTTTCTGTGTATAATTGTGTGTATTTTTAATTGCAGCATCAATGATATTGCCGCGGTTGGACCTGACAGCTTTTATGCCACAAATGATCACTATTTTGCTGACCCATACTTAAAGTCCTGGGAGATGTACTTGGGTCTGTCATGGTCCAATGTTGTTTACTACAGTCCTGATAAAGTCCAAATAGTAGCAGAAGGATTTGATTTCGCTAATGGCATTGGCGTTTCCCCTGATGGCAAGTATGTGTGCCTTCTGTACCACAGTGGGCTTCTTTGGATTCTCCTCACACAGCTTTAGAACATAGTCTTTTCCTATGTAATATGATTATCTGTTGTGCTATGTTGGTAAGATGAGACTGTAAAGCAAGACACTGGTTCCCTCCCAGGACCTCTTCCTCCCTTAGTTACTTTTCTATTGCTGTACAAAAGACTCCTCAACTAAGGAAGTTTATAAAAGAAAGCATTTAATTGTGGGCTCGCAGTTCCAGGTGAGTCTATGGCCAGCATGGCAAGAGGCAGGCAGGTATGGTGCTAGAAAAGCAGCTGAGGGCTCACTTGCTGAGACCAAACCCACAAGGTGTGTGTGGGGGGGGGAGGTCTTGCTGAGAATGCCACAGGCCTTTTAAACCTCAAAGCCCAACCCCAGTGACACACCTCTTCCAACACATCTCCTAATCTTTCCCAAACACTTCAACCAACTTTTAAACAACCATTTAAATATATGAGCTTATGGGGACCATTCTTGTTCAAACTACCACACTTACCGTATGAAAGAGTCAATGTAACTATTAGTGATGTAGTCCACTACCTCATGTTGGTTTTGCAACAAGCAGTTCACAGATCACTATTGGTCTGGGCACCACAGTTTGGGTAGCATTGATGAACATAGAAAATCCGTTTATCATCCATCTATACTCTCCCTCATCTTCTTTCATCAAAAATTTCAGAGCATCAGTAACAAAAAAAGTAACATGGGCAGTTTTCTGTTCATATCGTCTCTAATCCTCACAGAAGATAACTAGCACCCCACTTCTCTCTTTGTTCTAGAATATACTGTGCTTAGTCTTATCAAAAATCTTTAGGGTGTAAAGTGTTATACCTTGTGCACATCACTGAACTCATGTTTGGATCAGGCTCAGAACAGGAAGAGAGAAAGACTTCTTTGCATTGAGGCCAAACCCTTGTCTTCTCTCATACTTTCTCTGGCCTGAAACAGAAGACCATCATTAAGAGGGTTTCCCGGTGCTCCCCAAAGCCTGAACTTTCTATCTTCTGACATGAAGAACCTTGGGCTTGCCACTGGGTTAACAAGTCAAAGGCAACAATGTACAAGGCCAATATAAAGAGCAGACGTTTGCTTTACGTTTCTTCCCTGCTGACCAAGGATGAATACCTTGCCACCTTAAGGAATGACTTTTCAGTGATTAAATGCTTCATGCCCTATAGACTCACTGAGTTCTTTAGAGTTGAGTTTGCTTTGAGATGAATTTGATTTTCTAGTTTCTAAGCAAAGTTTCACCCCAAGATGAGTTATCACAACTCACCTCTTGGCATCACTTCAAGCGCTTTGACGGGGCTCTTTCTTCTTTGAAGGCATGTCTATATAGCTGAATTATTGGCTCACAAGATTCACGTGTATGAAAAGCATGCTAATTGGACTTTAACTCCATTGAAGGTAAGACGTATTAACACTGTAAGTTTGCAGAGTGATAATTAGATTCTAATTGATTTGTGAAATTAAAAGTGAGGAGAAAGGAATTTTCTAATTGGAGTGGGTGAGAAGCAATTTTTCACTGATTTATTAAGAGCCATCAGTGCCATCATGTGTTTGTTGTTCACTTTTGCTCCCGGCAGAGTGGGAAACAGCAGCCCAGGCATCTCACACAGGAAACTCGGAGACTTTCTGTTCCAGAGAATTTTAAGATGGGTTGTTTCCCAGGTCCCTTCCTTATCTGCATCTACTTCTTTTCTCATTCTCCTTCTCCCGCTCTCTCTCTCTGTCTCTCTGTCTGTCTGTCTGTCTGTCTCTCTCTCTCCCTCTCTCTCTGTCTGTCTGTCTTTCTCTCTCTCTCTCTCCCTTCTTGGAGATAGAGATGCCAAGAAAAGAGTCTCCACTTGTTTGTCACATCCAGCTCCCCTCGGCACCAGCCACATACTCACAGTGGCTGCAGGTGACCTGGCTACTTCCAGATGTGCCGCACTGCCACCTCTACTTTCTCCAGCTGTTCCGAGGGATCCAGCTGCAGACTCTGAGCCCTCGTCTTCCTAGTGTCTGTGGCTCTCATCTCTTTCACTTCTTATTAATACAGCACTTCAGTGAGACCTTCCCTAACGACCTGAACGACCGACAGCTCCCTGCTCCCCACCACAGGTCTTGACTTCTTGCTGGTTTTATTCTTGCCTTCAGTTTTCATTCCATCACACTACACATCTTACTAGTCTTCTTTACTCTCTATATGATCCACCAGGGCAGATTTCTTTTTCTGTTTGTTGCTGGAAGAGTTCCTAACACCTAATAAGCATTCAGCAAACATTTGTTTAATTACTATGGTGGGGTTGGCTGCGTATCAGGGCTTCATCTTCTGCCCCCTACTAATTCTGGTCTAGGCTAAAAGTTTTCGTTAGAAAGTGTATCGCACAAAGGGGAAGAAGGGAGACTTACGTAAACAGAACATTACAAAGTGGCCCCTGTCCCTGCAGAGCCACAAGACACCATGCTGCCAACACCCATGCCCACCACATGAAGTGCTGTCACTGCCAATTGCATGCCTGTTACTGTCACCATGTCCCAGGGACTGTCACAGGGGGCCTCACTCAGAGAAAATTGCCTCAAAGCAACATCAAATCGAACATCGTGTTTGACATTAGAAATCACTGGCAGAGCTAGTTTAATATTAGCTGCAGAGAAATGAAATTTCACACACTCCAACTGGCTTAGGGAATAAAAGCAAACTGTGCTTATAACAACAGATACCTCTGCAAGGTGAAAGTTAAGGAATTTTGTAATAAAACCCAATTCAATATACACTCAACACAGAATGTGAGGGCTTTGCTCCTGTAGGGGCGGGGGCCAGATGTGGCTTCCACATTTGGTACCGGAACAGGACTCTCTCTCATCATTATAGTCAACCTAGCAGAAGCCACCCTGTCAAATGTAGTGATACTCACTCTTTGGCGGTGGTGGCGGGGTAGTTATTATGTGAATTAACATTAGTTCAGTAATATTTTAGAATGCCAAGAGATTTGAAGAACTTGTTGTGGATAATTATCAAATCTGTGATGAAGGTGAATGGTATATGTCTAGCGCCAAGTGTGGTGTAGTCCTACACTGGAATCTTATTCAGTTTTACAAAGGAAGGATACAAAAATGGATGAAGCTTAAGACATTATGCTAAGTGAAATAAGCCAAACATAAAAGGACAGAGAGCACGATTTTACTTATTTGAAGTACCTAGGGCCAGGTATGGTGGCTCACACCTGTAATCCAGCATTCGGGAGGCTAAGACAGGAAGATTCCAAATTAGAGGCCACCTTGAGTTACATAGCAAGAGCTTACCCCCCAAAATAAAATAATTAAAGTAAGTTTAATAGTTTAAACTCATTGGAGCAACAGAATGGTGGTTACCAGACGCTGGGAAACGAGGAATGATCACTTAATGGTTGCAGAGTATCTCTTGGGACAATTCGAAGTTCTAGAGATGGCTAATCATGACAGTTACACAGACATGTGCCTGTACCTGATGCTGCTGAATTGTCCTTTTAGAGAAGGTTATGATGGCAGGGAATATGTTACCTGCATTTTACCATAGCAAAATGAATTCTGTTCCCCAAGACTCTAAGACTAAGAGCTAGCCACAGTGCAGTCAACTGGAATTCTCAAAATACTGGAGTGTTAACATGAAAAACCAAAACCAGCTCCTTATTAAGGCATTCCTTTTAGGTGGTCCTGGGGACTGCAGAACCCAGGCCCTGGTAAGGAAAGGGACAAGAAAGGGGAGAGCACTTTTCTGCTGAGCTACCTCATCAACATGCCTATGTCTTATTTAGACTTAAGTATCTTCCACATGTCTTTGTGGCAATGTGAGATGAGATGTAGATATCCCTTGCAATTATATCATCATCATCATCATCATCATCATCATCATGGCTAGGTATTGAATATTTACAGGGTAAGAGTTCATTTCTGGACCCAGAGCAGCCTGCCTGATAGATGGTGACTGGTCTTCGGCAGGAGCTCTGTCTGTCTAGTCCTCTCACTCCAGGTGCTGAGCTGAGTGCCCTGCAGCGTATGTGGTACTTGTGTGCAGAGTGGATGGGCTCCTAGGCCTCCGTCCCACTCTTACCTCTACGGGTGTTCTCAGCAGGCTTCTGTCCACCATGGAATTTACCAGTGGCAAATCCCCTGCTCCATGCTAACAGCAGAACCCTAGCTAACACCTTTCCCTCACTTAAAGAAGCTAATGTAAGCCTGTAAAGGAGAAAGCTGGCACTGGGCGGATGGCTCCTGGGGGCTGGAGAAAGCCAGGAGCAGATTTTGACCTGGGAATGCTTGCTCAGCCACTTCCTGTAGTTAATGCTGCCTGTTCCCAGGCTGAAGGGTGACAAGCCTCCTGACAGTGAGAGTGAGGCTCTGCCAGGTTGCTGAGCCCTCTAATCCCTTCGTGGACATGTGGGGACAGCTCTCATTTTGAGCAGGAAGTGGAGGGCAGTGGCAGCACATTGCACTTGCCTACGCTCAGGCCTTTCCGGAGAGTCACGACCAGTGATTTCCAGGGTCCCTGGGTACTGAATCTGTTGGACTCAGAAGTACATGAGCAGATATTGTTTCTCCGGTGAGAGTTCGAGGTAAACAAATAGATGGGATTTCTTCCCCGGCGAAGGCAGCCAGGATGATGAATGGTGGAATTAGGGATCGTTGCTATTATTTATGACGCCGGTGCAAAGCCAGGACAGCCATCTGTGCGGTGATCATGCATTTGCAGCTTATATTTAGAGAAGAAACAGCAAAAAAGAGCAGGGAGCTGAATCACTTCAGGAAACGAAAGAACAAACTTGCCCTCAACTTCAAGAGAAGAATTCGACCCTAGGTGATCATTTCTTCCCCGGGTACACAGCCTATGATTAACCATGAAGGAACTTATATTGCCTCCATTATCTTCCTCAGAAATGAATCTACATTCATTGTTTGTTTTCGGAATATTTGTAAACATATCACATGCACATGCATCTTTAGAAAGAATGGATTTATCCTGCACTTAATTTTATTTTTTTAGGTTTTAGGTTCATGTACAAATGATTTCATTTAACTCTTAAGAGTCAGTCTTTGTTTTGTAAATCATCCCCTGCACCCAGCTTGTCTTTGAACCCAGAACAATGCTAACATTGACAGAAGGCCAGATGCATCCCTTCAGTGTAGCTGAGGTGGGAGGAATTGTATCCCTGGGAACAGCAGTGTGCTGGCCTGCAACAGAACAGCCTCTGGCCAGCTCTTCATATTGACCTTGGCAGGTCCTCGACTTTGACACCCTTGTGGACAACATCTCTGTGGATCCTGTGACAGGGGACCTCTGGGTTGGTTGCCATCCCAACGGGATAAGGATCTTCTTCTACGATTCTGAGAACCCTCCAGGCTCAGAGGTTAGTTTGCATGATGCAGTGGACACAGGGGCTTGCTCTAACTACTGATTTTCAACTGAAAACCAAATTCTTACTTGTGTGTGCAAATAACAGAGAGCTCACGGACAGATGATCCAGGTTCTCAGAGGTCAAAAGGGCTTGTGGAGGTGTTCTGGTGAGAGTCCGAAAGGGCACAGGCAGTTCTTTATTGCTTGGTAATTTTTTTTTTTTAAATCAAGGTGTGAGCCCAGTATAGGGACACCAACAGGAGCTGACACAGTAACACAGGTGTGTGTGTGTGTGTGTGTGTGTGTGTGTGTGTGTGTGTGTGTGTGTGTGTGTGTTTGCAGGAAATGGCTGCCAAAGGCAGAAGGGAATGAATACTGTGTTGGGAGTGTAGCTCAGGGGAAAGCACTTATCTAGCATGTGTGAAGCACTGGGATTGATCCCCTTGCACTGGAAAAATAAAAACAAATAAAATTAACACACACACACACACACACACACACACACACACACACACACAGAAGTGTTTCGAGGAAGGTGGGCACCTTGATGAGAATTTAACCAGCTAGAAGTCATCCAGGGGGACAAAGGCTGGGGTTGGGGAACTACCTCAGGTCCTCAGACCCTCCAAGTGTGCAAGAAGCCAAGCTGGAGAGGCCCCTCCATGCAGGCCTTGGTGCAAGTCACAGCCTAGAGAATGTGGGCCTGAAGGGCTGTGTTAAGGACATCCAGTTATTGGAGGAACTCACTACTGAAGTAAGGTCTACATGGTGCCCACATCCTTATTTCCAACTTGGAAATTCATGCTAATTTAAAAAAATACAGTGGTGTCACACAGCTAGGCTGTATCCATTTGTTATCCATTCCCCACATAACTTTCCCTTACCTGGCATCAGTACCCCATCCAGGGTATTACTACAGCTTCTCTCAATATCTATGATGGACTATGTCTGTGACTCCTATGAGTACAAAAATCCATAGATGCTCAAGTCCCTTATATGAAGTTATGTGGTATGTTAACATGATTTATGCATATCCATCCTCCTGTATACTTTATGTGTGTATATGTATATTATATATATACTTTATATATAATCGTGTGTGTGTGTGCGCGCGCATGCGCGCGCGCGCATATATATGAGGAAGCCAGAAGTCAATGCTAGCCATCGTCTTAACTGCTTTACCTTACTTTTTGAGACAGGATTTCTCATAGAACCTGGAGCTTGCCAGGTAGCTAGAAGCAAGCCAGGGATCCTCCTGTCTCCACCTCCCCAACACTGGGATGACAAGCTCAAGTCTCCATGCCCAGTTCTTTATGTGGTGCTAGGGGTCTGAACCCAAATAGTCAGGTAGGCACAGCAAGTGCTCTTACCCACAGAGACGTCTCCTCGGCCCCTCCTACACAGTGTTTGTTTTTGTTTCTCAAAACAGGGTTTCTCTCTGTAGCTCTAGCTGTCCGGGAACTCACTCTGTAGACTAGGCTGGCCTTGAACTCACAGAGATCCACCTGGCTTTGCCTCCCAAGTGCTGGGATCAAAGGCATGTGCCACTGTTGCCCAGCTCCTCTCCATATCACTTAAAACACCTAACATACTGTAAATGCAATATAAATAGCTATACTGACTTTTTAAGGGATAGTAAAAGAAGTTTTTACTTGATATACATGTGTGTATAACACACACACAGACACACACACACACACACACACACACACACACACACACACACACACACACACAACCTCCCCCTATATATTTGTATTGAAAGAAGTCTAATATTAATGGCTCCTGACCCTATTATCTCCAAATTTACAGGAAATTATGATTGTGTTTGTTATTATCAATCTTTTTGTCTTTTGGTAGATTTCCGCTATTAGGCTTGCTCAGCTGTATTTTAATAGAATTGAAGAAATGTATGCTGCAGGGTGTTCAGTATACAAAACTGAGCAGAATCTTCAGTTCTAATTGTTCTTGCTTATTAGCTCATTTGGTGAACTTGGGTCCTTTGCTCTACCAAGGATTTGGTTTGGTTTTCTGGAAAAAAACAATTCCTTTCTAATGATGAATTTGATAAGGGAAATAAAATGTAATAATTTGAATGCACCATCTAGTGCCCTGCCCCCATAGATCAACTTCTTATGAACAGGAGGCTTATTAAACCGAGGTGCATCCTTAACTGTTAATAATTTTTAAGTAACATGTTAACATTGCAGCAATTTCCTAAGACATGTATCTGTGGTGCTAGCTATATTGAAAAGTCATCTGGACCTTCCCATTGATCCTTTGACGCCCAGGCCTTGGCTTCCCTAGCCTGCTACAGTGGGTGTTCTGTGATATAGGTTTCTTTTCTCCAAGTCACAGTATTTTATCATTGTCAAAGAGAATTTAGAAGTAATTTGGTCTCACCCATCTAATTCTCCAGTGAAGGCACAAATGGGAAAGGAAAGCCCCAAGACTTGACCCATGTCCCCTGCCTCAGTAAGACACCCTCCATATTAGGTTTTGTTATATAGAATTGCTTTATTACCCCAAAGGACCAAGCACTAGCTATGCCATATGGTGAATTTAACATGAATTGAAATACATGGTCAGTAATAATGTAACTAAATTTCTCAGTTAAGTAAAGGAAATAAAACTTAAAAATCTTTTCTACTTAGAGGCAGGACCTTAACTCAAAAGAGTGCATAAGTATGCTACAGATAGGTGGCTTCTTGGGTCAGACTTTCAAGTTTCTTTGTCTACATTGTAAAACCAGATATTTGAAGGCATAGTGGTGCATATGCACCTATAATACCAGCACTCAAGAGCCTGAGGCAGGGAGTGCAAGTTCAAAGCCAGCCTCAGATATGTACAAAGACTGTCTCATAGGTAATCAACCAACAGACCAAATAATCAAAACATGACTCCCCACTTACCCCTAACAAAATTTCAGGGTGAGCATCCACGTTCCTAATTTATCTGAAAACACACAGAACAGGCCTAATGCCAGTCAGGCAACTATCTAACTACGGCTCACGTCCCCCTCCCCCATATTACTGTGTTCCCTACTATGCCCTAAGGTCTCATATCCAGGCTGTGTTGCTTACTTATATGCCCTACCTTACCCATGTGTGTTCGTATGCTCGCTACTGTTGTTAAAGATCATGTAGCCAAAACTTGACCAATCACATATGAGGAAAGAGCTATCTTAAAATAATTTTAGAATAGAACACAATTACATGAGATAATGTGGCTAAGGGGGAAAAAACTTCAAGTTTAAAGCTGATTTAAATGACTAAACAAAAATATTAACTTCATCTTATTTCTTTGATAGGTGATTCGAATCCAGAACATTCTATCAGAAGAACCTAAAGTAACTGTAGTTTATGCAGAAAATGGCACAGTGTTGCAAGGTACTACAGTTGCCTCTGTGTACAAAGGAAAACTGCTTATTGGCACTGTGTTCCACAGAGCTCTTTACTGTGATCTGTGACAAGCTGATTGCACCACACCATGGACAATGAGTCCATTATTTCAATCGTTTTCCATATTGAAGGTGCCTATCACAGTGATCTCTGCTGACCAATGAATGTTGACATTAAACTTAGAAGGTGTGGGAGTGTTTACTGGCTGCAGATGTGAACAGCAAGGATTTCTTTAAAGTTAGTCTTGAACTACTTGAAGACTTCATTTATCAATAAAAACTCTTTCACCAAAATGGATAAATCTGTCAAGTCTACATAATTTGTGCTATGATTTAAAGATGAACTGTTCCTACTGGTTAGTATGCTCTTTGTTTAGTCCTCTGCTGGGGGAGGGATTTTTGGAGGTGTTGGGAAATTTAGGAGATAGGACCACACTGACGGAAGTATGTCACCGGGAGGGAGGGCTGCCTCTCTCTGCTTCCTGTTGGCCGTGAGGTGGGCCTCCACCAGCTTCTGGGACTGAGTTGCTGTCTTACTGCAGGCCAAGAGACAGTGGAGTCAGATGTGGACTGAGCCTTCCAAAATAAGTTTTTTTTTTTTCCCCCCCTTTTAGTTATACCAGGCTGTTTGTCAAGGCATTAGGAAAAATCAGGAACACCTTGTATGTAATTCCAAACACACTTTCCCTGTAACACACACAATCCCTGAAAACCTGTGCATGCGTGTATTTCTGCTTCACTGCTCTTCCTTAAGAAAACAAGAGAGTTTGGCCAACACTGGGGACTCTTAGGTGACTTAGGGACTCCCAGGGTCACACAAATGTCATCGTGAAGACAACTCTCAATACCTCATGAAGCCAATGGATGGGCCGGCACGCACTGCCTGACTCCTGGCTTTTCCCTTTTCTCTGTGATTTCCTCCAGAAATAGAAGTCACAGTCACCCTCTCTCTTTTTCACTGGGCTTTTCAGTTTTCCCACAGTTATGGCACGGAGGAGACTTAGAAGATCCTTGGAGAGGTTCTCGCACTGAAATGTGCTTTCTGCTGTCTTGACATGTTATACATTCTGTTTATACTGTCCCAAAGAATGGAGGAATTCACTTCTTCTGTCATGACTAGATTCAGGAATAGTCGGCAGCTAATTCCACAGGTGCTGAGTGCCAGGGATGGGTTTTGTTTTCTTGGTTTTTGTTTTGTTTGGCTTTACCTACTCTAACTTGCTGTGAAGACTGAAAAAAAAAGGATGATAAACAGACTTAAAAACAGGAAGATCAACAACCCTTGGCTATTTATTGAGAGACATGACTAAGAAGAAAATATCACTTTTCTTATGTTGGTTATGAGGCAAGAGATTATATTATTAGTTGTCTATTTTGAAGACAGAACCTCAGTGCTGGATTCTTTCTTTGGGATATTAAAGCAGCCAGTTTAGAGATGAAATATTTCTAAGATAATAGCCATGGCATTTATCTGGTATTTTGGTTTTTTTTTTTTTGAGGGGGGTGTTTGTTTGTGGGAGTTTGTAAGAAACTGAAAAATTGTCAAAAATCTATCATTTAAGGCCACAAATTGGAAGTATAAAACAAAAACAGTTTTTGGAACTAGGCATCATGATGTATGTCTAATTCTAGACTTAGGAGGCTGAGGCAGTGGGATCATGAATCCTAGGCCAAGTTAGGCTATGAAGTAAGATCTTAAGATAACCAAATTAATAACAAAAAAATTATTTTTATAAAAGAACTGCTTTCGTCACAATGAGATTGAAGTGATTTTAGTCAGTTTAGTAAGACACCAGATGTCTGTGAGTGTTCAGTTAGTCAGCAATACCAGCTATCCACAGTCCAGGAGGCTTGACTTTAGAACAACGGTTATGACTATCAATGAATGTCAATGAAGACAGCAAACCTCATATACTTCTTAAAAAAAGTCTTGACTAGCTAGCCTTCATCACACCTTCAGGGAAATGACTACATCCTCTTCCCTTTTAACTGGTGAATCAAGCTGATTTTTCAATAAAAGAGAAAATAAAAATGAAGCTATCCAATTTCCCATGGCACCCATTCAATATTGCCCAAGACTTTGGTGAGGGGTTTTTAACATGCATTCCGTGCAGGGGGAAACAGTTCCCTTCGCTTATTCTGTGAAGCTGAGACAGAATGGAGCGAATAGGCTTCATTCGTCTCATCCAAGCTTTCTTAGTCTTGGAGATCTTAGGATGGAAATGTCTTAAAATAGCGCGGTGCACTGGGCTGGACTTGCCTCCTTCACAGCTTCCCTCTCATTATGTGAGACTGACTGCTAATGCGTTGTCATCCACCTTTCTCTGGCTGATGGGCACTGGAAACGTGATGGTGAAGCGACGGTGGAGAGACAGGGGAAGAGGTGGACAGGGAGGCTCCAGCTGGAGGCCCTGCTCTTTAACTTTATGCCCAGTTCCATAATTGTGCTTTCAAGGGTAATTCTAGCTGCCAATTTACACTTTGCCAGAGTTAAAACTTATTTTTAGATTCATTTCCATGAAAAATGTGCACTTTGCTCTTGATGGATAGATATGTTTTGACAGTTAATGCAGGTCTGCCCAGTCAGGGCTTGTTTTAGTTGAAGGTGGAAATGGAAGAGGAAAAAGAAAGAAACATATACTCTGACAGATCACTGTATTTCCTTTTATTGCATTCATTATCTAACAACAATAATACTCATTGGCAAGAAATTTATTTACACTAACAAATTAAATTTAATCACAGGTATTTTTAGATGGTCAGAAAACAATGGGCCGCTTACGGTATGGTTTGCTTTGAAAGCCTCTGAAAACCAAAGAGTAAGGAATGCCATATGAAACAGCACACGCTAATCAAGCACCAAAGAACAGATCAGATGTGGCACTATTGTCTCTCCCATGCAAATAATCAGACAGCAAAATGTACAAACTAGGAGTTTCAGTTAATATGCTGCCCATACTTACCATACCCAAATGCTTTTCAGACCACTTTCCCTTTAGCAATATACAAAGAAAGAGGAAAACGAAGCAAATCTTACAGTGGAACAAAATTTTATTCTCCTTCTGCTTTTCAGCTGCCCAGTCTTGCCAATGATATATAGCAGATGCACAAGTGGCTTCATCAAAATATCATTGAAAAAATACAGAAGCAGTAGTTATGACATTAAGTAATACCGAGGAGTGTATACGCATGTATGTTTAGAGATTTTATTAATCATTGATTGAACCTGATGTTGCTGGGAGGTGTTATCTAGCTTGAGAATCACTTGGGAGGTGATATCTAGCTGCTTTTTTTGTCAAAGTAATTTAAGGTATTTCTGGCCAATTGTTCTTTCATGAATGAATGCTTAAATCCTTAACATGAAACTTGTGTGTATGCATAAAATAGTTGAAGGAAATGGATGCACACACCTTCCAACAACATAGACTCATAACCCATTGTGTTATATTTGGTAGCAACCAAAATGCCATTGCAAGCTGATGGCATAGGAAGTAAATAGTGGTCACATGACAGAAATACTGCCACCAGAGAGCCAGTAGTTGGTGACATAAGCTACTGAAGATCTCATTTTAGAGTGAGAGCTGATACACAAAACACACAGCGCAATTTCTAGTCTAGAAAACTGCGACCTGCAGTTGAAAACGCCCAAAGCTGCATAATATCTTCTGATTTCCAACTAAAAAAAAAGTGCAATCTTGACATCAAAGCATTAATCAAACCTTTGAGGAAAATTTATCTTACTAAAATACGATACCAAAGATCTAATAAATCAGTTTTACCAAAATATATAAACATTTATAAGCATAAGTGCATTTAGTAGGATACTTACATTAAAAAAAACTCTTAAAATCTATGAGCCATTCAATGTATACACAACACAAAAAGTGGCAATAAGGCTATGATTACAGCCCAGGGTCCTAACATCACTGTAGTCCATGTATAGTATATTTTTATGCCACGTGCTTATGGTATATATGTGTGTAAGGTAGGGGACACAGTCACACACAGTTCTGACACCCACACGAGTGGCATGCACATAAGTGAGAATTTGTGGCTTGCTCTCGTACTCTCGTACTCCTATGTCTTGCACATCACTGGATCCCTAATGGTCTGGGGGTAGGTAGGGTCAAGGGCTGGGAAGCATGGAGCTTCTCTTGCCCCCTACTCTGAGGATACAGAAACAGGTCCTGGTGCTTATAGATTTGAGTCTTGAGTAACAAACATGCTCTTACAATCTCACACAGACATCCTTGCACAAACAGGTGAGGATGGCAGGCCTTCCATGAATGGAACTGGTGTCACTTAGCAGGGGGAGGCTTATTGTGTAGGCTTTCCCTTTGTCCTCTAACTGCTCAATCCAGCTTCTTCAATGCTACTCTCCAAGTTATTACAATGTGTTTTCTATTGTGTTATTTTTTTCTCCAATGTTTTGGATCAAGATTAAATTCCACGGGACCTTAAATACAAATGCGAACAAAGTCAGCCAGCACACTCAGTCTGACTTTCAGGACCGAATTGGTAAAACAGACTTCCTGTAATGCTGTTTCCTTTTGAGTCTACCCCCTTCTTTGTCCTATCACAGTGAGGACAACTTTGGAAGAAAGTAGAGATGCTTTAATCTTGGACTTCACCTCCACAATCTCACCTTCAGAACTGGACACAGGTAGAGTCCCGACTCACTGTAAGTAAGAAAACACACAAAAGCTAGTTCTGTCATCTCCTAACTACCTTTTCACTCAGGCAGGGGTCTCAGTGCAGCAGCAAGTGGCATGCCCCTGCTGATGCCTGCCCCCTAAAGCCAGATGCTCCTGATCGCCAGCTCTATGGGAAGAGCCTTTAGTTACTTGAGCGGATTTGGTAACTCTTAAATATCTCAGTGTATGAAGGGGAAATATGCATCCCATGTATAGAAGTTTCTTTTAGAATCATTTGCCCTCCCTCCTCCAGAATTGTCTTAAACACCCTTGTTAAATGTTGATGGTCCTCCTCAAATTTATCTAACCTTTCATGTTTATAAATGACTTAGAATAACTGTATAAATGCAATTTGTTTGCTTTTTACATAATTTT